ACAAATTTTCACTTAATACTATGTTTCTCCACCGTAACTTCTCATTAAGGAATTCATTTCCTTCGACCACCATATATAAGGCGATTCAAATGTGCTTTTCAAAATGTTACATTCCATATTACCGCATCATTACTAATATGACCACTTTTGTTCCGTGATAAAATTACCAAGACTGATATTGCTACTGATATCAAATGAATATTCAAAGATAGATGCAAATCGTATGTGTAGTGGATGAATTGTGATTGCCGTAGATCTTTCATTCCATCGTTATTACATCGTAAAATTTGTTTTTCTATATACGAATTCTTCCACTGCTATGAGTTTCATACGAATCGTCAGCTATTCATACGAATTCACGCTTCATTGGAATTCCAATTTGAGAAATTATATTCAGTTTCGACCGAACGAAAATTTCGAAAACGAGATGAGTAACTATTGTTGCTCGCAACAAATCAATGCACTGACATTGTTTTAGCTTAAAATTCATACTATGACATCTGCTTTCTCGGCGCCATAAAATAATTCTATTGCATTGAGAAGTTTCACTGAATTCGAACGTTGATTATCGTGTATTCTTAGAATGACTTAAAAGGAAACGATTTTGCCTGCATAACAATTTTACAACATCATGGATTGGGATTGCAATGTAATTCTGTGATGCAACGTTTTCAAGCTACGAAACCGGGCTTGAAGGGATGAGATGTATAGAACACATCTATTGAAAGCTACATGGATTTTCAGGATGGAGAACGAAAGCCGAGAGAAGGCGTATACGCTGATAACGTACACGGCAGCTGCATTCTCGCTGGTGGCCATTCTGGCCGTTTTTGTGACACTGCCCATGGTCAACAACTACGTGAACAACGTGAATGCACGTGTGGCACTGGAAATGGAATTCTGTCAGGTGACAACTGCTTGTTGTTGTTATCCGCAAAAAAATTTAATTAAGGAAAAATATCAGCCGTCGACGTTTGGATGTTTGGAACCTAGACACATAGAACTGAAAAAAGAATTCGATAAGAACAAAAGAAACGTTCAAAAACATTCAAAAAAGATTATTGCTAGGAAACATTCACAAAAAAAAGAAATAAAAACTCAAAAAAAGAACGAAACGCTCGTAAAATCTTCCGAAGATATTCGTCAAC